TCTCGGGAAGAGGGAGTTTATCTGTGGCCGACGCCCAGGGTGTGGCGGAGAGACGATCTGGGCGGGCTCCTCTTCCCAGCCCCCCCGACGCTGGCCGGGGGCTCCCCACGCTACCAGCCCCGTCAGAGATCTGCGGGGAGAGTGGGATTGTAGGCGAGTCCGCAGGCCCTGGGGTGCCCCGTGTCGAGGTAAGCAAATAGCACGTCCCAGCAGGGAGCCGCGCCAAACAGAGATGGCTGACCTGCACTCCCAAAGCCGGCCTTTTTTTTTTTTTTTTTTCACCCCCACCCGAGAGAATGGAGGCCGCTTTGATGTGGGCGCTTAGCCTGGTGTGGTGGGCGGGGGGCCAGGCAGGCGGGGAGCAGTCGGGCTTCGCCCCGCAAGTGAGGCTGGACTGGGGGTGACTTACGGGGTCGCGGGTCTGTGGCAGTCTGACGAGCTTCTCTCTGCCTTTGTCGGTATGCAGAAGTCTTTTTAAGTTCAGAGCAAAGTGAAAATTAGTCTGAGTTGGCCTTGACAGAAAAACTTTCATGGAAGAGATGAAAGTTCAGCAGACCTTTCAAGGCTAGAGCCACGTGTGTTTTGGAATGAGTACAAAGGGTGTAAATAGGAAGCCAGAGTGAGTAGTGGTCAGAGGACAAGAGCAGGCCACTGGCTAGTTAATAACTCTCTCCTGGAAATACTTTGTCCCCATCGACTATGATCTGAGGTTTCTTCCTACCTCTTTTTATTTTTTTAAATTATTTTTGAATCCCTAGCTCCATGCACAGTATCTGACACATGGTAGGTGCTTTGGAGTAGGTTTTTATTATACACAGTAGAAATCAGCCATCACAAATGCAAAGCTATACCTCTGTGTTCCTTTTGTTCATCCATGGAAGGAGGCCATAGGGAAGATGGAAATTTGCTGTGTCGGGATAAATCGTTGTCCTTGAATCTTTTTCTCTGCTGCTCTGCCTGAGCCCTATTTGTAAACCTGATAGCTTCAACCTTAGAACACTTGAAAGAAGGAATAGTCATCTGTAAAATTTTAGATAGAAAACAATAAGGACCTTAGGGAATTGACCTTTATTGAGCACGTGTTGTATAGTTACCAGACATGTATTATCTTGTTTAATCTCTAACTTCTTAGAGATCATCCTTTCATAATGTCAGATCATAACAATTAGAGGTAGAAGGAACAGTGGATAGAGACCAAGGCCCTCAGGAGGTTAGTGACTCTATGAGAGTCCAAAACCAAAGTTACTCAGTTTGTAGCTTCACAATCTTTCTGCAGCCTGCATTCCGTTGTCTATTAATTAAAAATTCATTTTATACAGGTTTAACATAGCTATCTATATAAACCATTTACTTTCTTTTTTTAATTTTAGATTTCTCACATTGGCAAACTGAGAGATTTTCTTCTGGAACACAGGAAAGATTATATTAATGCTTATAGGTAAGTGCATATTTTTTACCATGTCTTTGGTGACAGTGTTCTTTTTCATACCGACATTCCTTTTGAGCTTTTTGTCCTCACTTTACTTAATAACTCAGAATTGTAACAGATAGATCACTTCTGCAGTGGAAGAATATCTACAAAGCAGAAAGGAGCTCCCAGAGCCAGGATAGGCTCTGCTGTACCGTTTCCTCAAAGTCATGATATCACAACAGCAATATCTTCTAGTCTGTTTGTAGTTCTGTATGTACGTTATCTCTTATCAATGAAACTCATTCCATGAGTACTTACAGAGCAATGTATGAGGTTGGGGATGCATGTATTTGTTATCACCTATACCTGTGAAGGAACAAAATTTTCTAGGCTCTGCTACGCTATTTTTGCCCATGTGTCACTGTCCCAGTCTGCGACACTGGTTTTTGCTGCCTTGGCGAGTTTTCATGAGCATATTTAAATCTCTCACCCCTCATTGCCAGTTCCCAGTCATGTCTTCCTTGCCATTTCCCAGTCCTCAGTCCTGATGGCCATCTCCTTCTTGTCTTCTCCCAAGCTTTTGACACTTGCTAGAGATAGGTGCAAGCCCACTGTGGCTTGCCCTTCATTCTTGGCACTTTTGATGAATTCTTTTATTCATTCCCTGATGTAACTCGTGGTCTCATTCCTCCTAGCGGCCAGGACCAGTTTGTACTCAGTAGCCATTGTCTTTTTAAAACATCAGCTGGATTATGTCACCACCTGAGTAAACCCACCATAGTGCCCCATGGCAGTTAGCATTAACACCAGCCTCTATACCACGGTCACCACTTGTGATCTGGCCTCATTTCAAATCTCTCCTCCCCACTTTCCCACCCTCCATCCATTGTGCCCAGTCATGCCAGCCATCCATGAAGGCTCCATGCTCTTTCCTGCTTCAGGGCCCAGGCATGTATGTGGTGTTCTTCCTCTTCCCACAGTGGTCTCCTTTTCAAACTTAAGGCCTCAACTTTAATACTGCCTCTTCCGAGAAGCCTTCTCTGTCTACCCTTTGTAAAATAGATCCCTTCTGTTTGCTTGCTTGTTTGTTTGTTTCTCCACCCTGTATATTTTCTTCATAACACTAATCACAATTTGTAATTATTCAGTAATAATCATAGTTTATAGTTTATCATCTCTCTTTGTCCCTAGGCTGTAAGTTTCAAGGTCAGGGGCCTTGTCCGCTTTTCATTCTTGTTTCTATAGTGCCTCACCTATATTTGGCATTCAATAAATATTTATCAAATGAATGAATGATTGGTTTCCTCATAGTCCTATAGTCCATGACTAGCCCAGAGGTTCTCAACCAGGGGCGATTCTGCCCCCTGGGGACAATGTCTGAAGACATTTTTGTTTGTCACAAATGGGGAGAGGTGTGCTACTGGCATTTAGTGGGTAGAGGCCAGGAATGTACAAAGCGTCCTATAATGCACAGGACAACTCTCCACCACAAAGAATTATCTGGCCCAAAATATTAGTGCCAACGCTGAGAATTCCTGCTCCAGCCTAACCCCTCACTCTGCCCCAGCCCTACCTTCCCATCCAAAAGCCATCTCTTCTGCCTCTGAATTCTGATAGCTCTTTTTCTGTGCTTTTCTTATGGTACTTTTCACAGGTGCCTGGTAGAAGAGTTATTCATAATCTCTTCCACCAAGTTTCTTGAGGTGAAAAACTGTCTGATCCATCTCTGCATGTTTCACAATGCCAAGGCTCGATCAATTGATTCATTCATCAGTTCATTCATTCAGCAAATATTTATTGAATGCCTACCATGTGCCTCATACCATGCCAGGCATGGAGTATAAAATAGTGAGAAAAAACAAACATGGTTCTCCTTGCCTTCAAGGAGCTGTTAAAGGATTCATGCAAACAGGTAACATTGTAGATATGACAGGTACTGCAAAAATAGACTACAGGTAGCTTTTGAGGAATTTAGCCTTGTCAGGAATAGTGTTCTTGAAGAAGCGATGCTTGAGCTGAGATCTGAAAGAGAAGGAGTTACCTAGGTAAAGGAAGGATGAAAGAAAATTCAAATGCAAAGGGTATGGCGTGTGCAAACACCCCATAGACAGTGTCTGCCCTGTTGTGAAACATGCAGAGATGAAAAAGACGGCTTCTCACTCAATAAATACTTATTGAACAGATGAAGAGATGATGTAGGTCACCTAGAACATCATTCAGAAAGACAAGGTTGATTTTTAAAAAGAGAGAAAGCATTTTGATCAAAACTTCCAAACTGGTTTCTGAAATAGACTCCAACTCCCAACAGACACAAGAACGTTGCAGAGCAGTGTCTTGGCTCTTCTCTTCCCTTAACTGCATTTGCACCTGGCTTTAGTGTGACATTTTACCACAGGTCTTGCCTTCAAGCTTATTATGTAAGTTAATGGAAAAGTTGAATTTGGCATATGAGATGACATCATTAGGAGCATCTTTTTAGGATTTCATCTTTATAAAACAAGGGGTGTTTTTGCATTTTAGAAGGCTTCCTCTCACAAAGTAGGAGAATGTAAAAGAAATCCTCTGCCTTACTCTGTCAATATATACACAAATGGAAATACTTCACATAAATTCTTCAACACAGACAATAATTATATCCCAGGTAAATTTTAAATAATCCCACATGCTTTGTCTTCTTAAACTTAACATTGGCAGTTTTATACTTTTAAATGTGTTTCACTTGTGTTATTTTGGAATATACTAAGATAATTATTCTGATGCACAGTACTAAGAAAACCTTATTTGTGAGTTCTCAGAATAGTTGATTAACACTAGATGGCAGTGTAAATTTTATTTCGAAAGGTGTGTGGGGGCTGGCCCCTTAGTTCAGTTGGTCAGAACGTAGTGATATGATACCAAGGCCAAGGGTTTGGAACCTTGTTTACCAGCCAGTCGCCAAAAAATGAATAAATAAACAAAGGTGCGTGTGCGTCAAATACTAATTTGGTAGGCTGTAAAAAATGGAAGATACAGTGATTTTGGGAAACGTTACAAAACTGGTTTAAACCTATCAATTTCCAGCTCCTTTCTTTACCCAACAACTTAAGATTAAAGATGTGATTGTAAAGATCTTTCATAGAAATCCATTGTTAACTTCCCTTTGCCTTGAAAAAGCATCCAGCAAGGTGAATGCTTTGAATGTTGGTTTGGTTCAGGCCACCCCTTATAAACCATATGAATCTGAGAAAGGCATTTAATCTTGAAAATCAATGTCTTCCCTTAAACCAGAGGTCAGCAAACTACAGCCTGCAGGCCAAGTCCGGTCCACTGCCTGGTTTTGTACAGCCCATTAGCTAAATAAGAAGAGTTTTACATTTTTAAATGTCTGGGGAAAAAAAGAATATTTTACTACATGTGAAAGTTATATGAAATTCAGATTTCAGTGTCCATAATAAAGTTTTATTGGCACACAACCACACCAATTAGTTTACATATCATCTATGGCTGCTTTTGCGACAACAGCAGGGTTTAGTAGCTGTGACAGACTATATGGCCCCCAAAGTCTAACATATTTACTATCTGGCCCTTTTCTGAAGAAGTGTATAGAGTCAACAGTGAGAGTGATCATTACTCACAAGGTTCAAAGGAGACAGCATAATTGAGATGAACAATGCTGTTGTACCAGGATGCTATTCTGTAATTTGTCAATAGTTTTAAGCTTTTGATCTTCATAGTGATATTAAGGTGGTTATCCTTACACAGCCAAACTCAGCTCCCACACACTGTATTTTAGTGTTCCCAGACTACCCCAGCATAGACTCATGTCTCAGTACAGCAGGTGTAGGGCCTAAGCCTTCCCCTTTCCCAGCTACAGTGGCAACAAATACTGGCTCTGAGGATCAGAATCCCTGGGGGCTAGTCCCAGCTCTGCCACTTACCACCTGTGTGGCTTATGCACACCACTTATCCCCTCCTTGAGCATCAGATAGGACTATATAGTCTTTGAGGCTTTCTTAGTCTTGACTAATCCATTGCCTCATTCTAGAACCTCAGTCTTTTTACTCATTTTCCTGGTGCCAGCTGTTCTTTGCCAACTCATGCTCTCTGAACTCCATTCCTACCCCTGTTTTGGTACCTTTGAAAGAGCATGGGCTTTGGGGTCAGTCACACCGAAGTTCCAGTCCCAGTTCTGCCATGTATTAGTCATGCAAGTGTGTATAACTCACTTAACATCTTTGTGCTTGTTTTCTTTTTTATAAAATATGGATAATGTTCTTGTGTGGATTAAATGAGATGTGCGTGAGAGTTCCTGGCACATAGAAGTCCCTTGGTGAATGGTAATTGAATTGGAACCCCATTTGACCTATGATGCAGTTGTGGGGGAGGGTTTGAACAAAACCAAACTCATCTCTGTTTCCTGCCGGGGTGGGTATGGGGAGGAGTTGAGAGAGAGAAATAGGATGCAGGAGTCAGGTCAGCACGATGGAGATTGACATCTTCCCAGCTTTATCACTGGTAAAAATCTAGGTTGGCAGACAGCTTAGGTCTGTAGGCAGGTGGCTTTGCTGATACTCTGTTCCAGAATTAGATGGGCTCACTCAGCCAGTAGTGCCACTAGTCGCAGTCCCTGGAGCCCATACAGCAGGAGCAGGCCCCTTTGCAGCATATGAGAAAGGAATAGATCAGGACCTCTGCTGCCTTAGGCAGGCAGGTCCCAAAGAAAGGGGAGAGAGAAAGGCATGGTGGCTGATGCATGAACAGTTCCTTCTACCAGGGTGCAAATCAGGGAAGGCCCTTTTCCTCCCATGGGGTGTGGGGGTGAGGAGGGAGGAGGCTGAGGAAGGAGGCTAGATGTCACTCTGGGGAAGCTGATTCCCACAGAAACACGAGGACTGTTCCCTACATCCTCTCCAGATGGAGGAAGGGCGCCCTTATCATCTCCGGTCAAGTTCTCCCTCCCAAAGGTGGTAGACTGTTGACGGCCTTTCGTTTTTACTCCTCCTCCCTCCTAACGCAATGTGTTGGCCTTGGCCTGCTCCAAGGAACAT